CCCTTTCGGGACGAGCGGTCTGGCACGGGGCCGGGCGGGGAGCGCGCCGGCATTGGCGGAGCTTCTGCCTCGCTGGGTGGGACGTGGTCCCGTTTCGGCGGGGTGGGAGGGCCCGACCCTGGTGGCACAACCGTGCGTGGCGCGGGTCACCGGGTGGGCGGGCAGGAGTAGGAGGCCTCGTGGACGAGTGGGCGGCGATGCACGGGCTGGTCCTCGTAAACGAGGGCCGGACCTCCACCTGCGTGCGGACGCAGGGGGAGTCCATTGCGGACCTCACATGGGCTACCCCCTCGGCCGCGCGCTTGATCACCGGGTGGAAGGTGGAGCAGGGCGTCGAGACTCTATCGGACCACCGATACATATCGGTGGAGCTCGGCGTCCTCTCCTCCGTGCGTCGTCAAGAGGAGACGCGACCGCGATGGGCCCTCCGGAAGCTCCGCGAGGACGACCTGATGGCCTCGATTGAGGCCGCCTGTTGGGTCCGAGGAAGTTTCCCCGGGATCCGGGAGACGGACCCCCTGCAAGAGGCCGAGTGGATGGGGGCAACGCTCACCGCGGCGTGTAACGCGGCGATGCCCCGATCCAAGGCTCGGCCTCAGCGGGCCGTCTACTGGTGGACGGCAGAGATCGCCGACTCGCGTCGACGAGCCGTCCACCAGCAGAGGAGACTCGCCCGCTGCAGGCGCAGAGGCGAACAGGCGGCCGAACAAGCCAGGGAGGACTACCTTGAGGCCAAGGTAGCCCTCAGGCGGGCCATCAGGGTGGCCAAGGGCAGGGCGTGGACGGAGTTCCTCGACTCCCTACAGGAGAATCCGTGGGGGCGCCCATATACAAAATGGTTCTCAACAAGTTGAGACCATGGGCGCCCCCGCTGACGGAGCGGCTGGACGTGGGATTCGTCCGGAGGGTGGTGCAGGCCCTCTTCCCCGACATTACCGGGGAGGATGAGGGGCCACCCTTCGAGTCGGGGGAAGACTCCCCCGACTGGGACGATTCCCTCGACGTCCAGTCGGAGGAACTCCTGAGGGCCGTCAGGAAGGGCCTTAAGGGCAACACAGCCCCGGGTCCTGACGGCCTTCACAAGCGTGTCCACGCCCTGGCCATGGGCGTCCTCGCGGAGTAATACGCGCGCGTATATAGGGCGTGTTTACGGAGAGGAGTCTTCCCCCCGCGGTGGAGGAGTGCCATGCTGGTGCTCCTCCCGAAGGAGGGGAAAGACGCCTCTCTCCCGTCGGCGTATAGGCCTATATGCCTTCTGGACGAGGTTGGTAAACTGTTTGAGCGAGTACTCGTAAACCGCCTCGTCCAGCACCTGTCCCAAACGGGCCCCGACATTAGCGGGGCCCAATATGGGTTCAGAGAGGGCCTGTCAACCATCGACGCTATTAAGCGTGTCCAGGCCCTCTCTGAAGAGGCGACGTCCCAGGGGGGGGGGGTGATGTTGGCCGTGTCGTTGGACATTTCCAACGCCTTCAACACCCTCCCCTGGGGACGAATCAAGGAGTCGCTCCGACGCCGCGAGGTACCGCCGTATCTCGCCCGGGTCGTGAGCGACTACCTGAGGGACAGGTGGGTCGAATATATCGACCAAGGCGGCGTACGCCGACGGGAGAGACTGCACCGGGGAGTGCCCCAGGGTTCCGTGTTGGGACCGTTCCTCTGGAACCTGGGGTACGACCCGGTGCTGCGCGTTCCCCTCCCCCCCGGCTGTCACGTCGTCTGCTACGCGGACGACACGCT